CTGTTTGTACAAGCTTGGAGGAAGGAAGCCTTGAAGGAAGCCTGTACGGGAGGTGATCAAGTTGGAACCTGTCAAGTGCAGCTGGAACCTATCAAGTGCAATGAGCAGCTGGAACCTGTTAAGTGCAATGAGAAGGTTGAAGCTGGAGAACATGGAAACAAGAGTTTGAAGTGATGCATAAGACCTGGAGCTGTTACACAATGCTTTAGATTGTAATAAATGTTGAGAGTTAGTTAGGAACAGAATTAACTGTTTCTGTTGGAGTTGTTACAGTGTGTGCACGTTTCTGTTTTCTCTGTGTTTGATGAGAGCTGTATAAATCAGAAGGTTGTAACAATGAATAAGCGATATGAAATAAAATTAGAATTGTTCCTTCTTCCACAACTCAAATCTCAGTTCTCTATTGTTCTCCCTTCTCTGGTCAAGTTATCGGTCTCGTCAAAGCGTCTCTTACACAATTCTTCTCATTCCACTTTTGTTTCAGCTCATCATGGCCAGAACGCACACTAGATACAGCAGAGGCTTTGGATCCTCACAATTGGATATCAGAGCAAAGCTTATTCGATCAACATGGAAGGCAAGAATGGTGGATATCTTCTCAGCTGAGAGAATGCAAGCTTCTTCAAGAATCAAGAACTTCGCGAAGACCTCATCAGATCAGAAGGGTGCAGATCAGGAGTTCTCCACCAAGATCGAAGTCCTCTTCGTCACATTACAGAAATGCTCTATGCCTACAGGGAGGAGTTGTTGCATCAACGTGTTTCTCCATTGGTTTTGTCGAGAATATCGTCAGTCCGTCAGAGTCGAGCTGCTTTCAAGCTCTATAACACTTTCAATCACGCAACAATCTGTGGAAACATGAATTCTTTACAAGGGCCGCAAACATTTATGATCGGTGCTTGTCATTAGTCATACAAAATTGTCCAACCTCAATGGATCTTCGGCAAGCGAGCAGGTATCCTCAATCTTCGCGGAGTCTCGTTCAACTCAGACTTCTTCTTCCAAGAAAACGCGCAACAGAGAGTGGTTCGACGAAAGAGCCGTTGTAGACCCATCAAGAACCTACAGGGATTTCAAGCGTTCGAGAGGTTATCACCCCTTCCTTTGTCATATTAAAATGGGTCGAATAAAGAGAATGTGGGTATTGAAAATTTGGTGGTTGGAATTGGTCAAAGAGAAGAATAATGTGAAAAGAAAAGAGGGAAAAGAGGATGGGCGCTTGGAAAATTGAAGATTTTCAAGAAGGATGGTGCGCAGACCCCTTGCAGTGATAAATCTATGAGTATATTTTGTTTCGGAGAAGTGATATCAAGGATCTACAGGTTAAGTCATCCACCTCCGACCTATTCAACACTACTTTCATTCACAATGATCCTGCTATTATTCAGTCACACTATTCTCATCCTGCATCTACTTTCGGCTACCTTGCCTTCTGCTGGATATGGAGTTGTTGCTAGCTGCCTAGTTCCAATACAACTCAGCTGGGACTTTCAAGTCAGCTTTCCAAGGTGGTCTAGCCCTTCATTGGCCTGGGGAGAAGCAAGGGTCCTGGGAGGGCAAAAATGGCGATGAATCAGATGATAATTTGGAAGATGATGATGTTGAAACTCATCAATCTGAGATCAAGTAAGACGAGAGATTGTGCTGTTGAAAATCTTGGGAAAGAAATGTAGAAGGAAAAGGATAATTTTGAAAAGAGAAGGAGAGAAAAGATAGTGCTTGTGAATTTTAAAATATAAGAAAATGTGGTATTGGACATTTTGGTGTGAAAAGGGAGAAAGAGAAGAATAATCTTGAGAAGAAGAAGAAACCGCCATGGTCAATCTCAAGAAAGAGAAAGCCAAAGTTCAAGAAATCGCCACGGCCAATCTCAAACAAGAAGAAGAAGACTAAGAAGATGGAGTTGTATGATTTGAACAGATCGCCGGAGGCTCAGGTTTTTTCAGCGGTGCCTCCTGAGGGGATCTCGAGGGCCGAGCTCAAAGAAAAAATTGGTGGTCAAATTTTCAAGATTGGTTCGTCCCAAGCAGTCAAGAATAAATAGGTGGAGATTGGGAAACAATGGGTCTCTAGTAAGGTTAAAAAAAGGGGAAAACAGAAAAAGAAAATAAAGGTGACAAAAGAATTTGAACAAATCTACGTCACTGGAACCAATTCTCGTATTCAATCAACATTTGATTGACCACCACAAAGAGTTTTGTCTAGTTTCCTGCATTCCTTTATGGACAGCAGTCGTGCTGGTGTTCCATTCCCTCTAGCAGCATTGCCAGCTATTTGGTTTTCGGAAAGCGACAAACAATGCATACGTGATCATAGACTTCGTAGTTGCACCATGGCTCGTCATATTTTTGCTGATAAAAGTGAAGACTACATCAATGCGCAGGTAACTGCATTACCAGTCATTGTTAAAATGTGTAGGCAGCTGAATAAGCCAGTCATTGTTGTCTCTCAACTCCTGGAGTCTATGACTGAGTATCCTACACCTACACGAGCTGAAGTTGCTGAAGTTTCTGAAGCTGTAAGACAAAGGGCTGAAGCGTTGATGCTTTCTGGTGAGTCTGTCGTGGGCCAATACCCAAAAAAAGTTTTAACTGTTCTAAGAGGTGTGAGCCTAAGGATTGAATGATGGTGGAGAGAAGAGAAGCGTCGTGAAGCTATGAAGCTCCCGAATGTGGCATCATCTTTCACAAATAAAATCTCAGAAGAGATTTGCAATTCAGTTGCAAAAATGGCGAACAATTTGGGGGTGGGTGCTCTCTTTGTTTACACAAAGACTGGTCATATGGCTTCTCATCTTTCTCGTTGTCGCCCAGACTGCCTAATCTTTGCCTTCACAAGCTCAACATCAGTGAGGAGACGCCTAAATCTTCAATGGGGCCTCAATTCCTTCTGTCTCAGCTGCTCTGATTGCTATAGGAGGTTTCCTATAATGGACCTTGAGACAAGGTCCAAATTAAGGGAAGAAATTGTCAGGGACGGGAGATCAATCTGGAGAACAAGCCTGAGAAGTTGAACCTGTCAATTGCGCTGGAGCTCGAAGTGTTAGTTCAATCCTACAGTGTGTTAGTTCTGTCCACTATCATTTCTGTTTGTACAAGCTTGGAGGAAGGAAGCCTTGAAGGAAGCCTGTACGGGAGGTGATCAAGTTGGAACCTGTCAAGTGCAGCTGGAACCTATCAAGTGCAATGAGCAGCTGGAACCTGTTAAGTGCAATGAGAAGGTTGAAGCTGGAGAACATGGAAACAAGAGTTTGAAGTGATGCATAAGACCTAGAGCTGTTACACAATGCTTTAGATTGTAATAAATGCTGAGAGTTAGGAACAGAATTAACTGTTTCTGTTGGAGTTGTTACAGTGTGTGCACGTTTTAGTGCACGTTTCTGTTTTCTCTGTGTTTTGATGAGAGGTGTATAAATGAGAAGCTGTAACACTGAATAAGGATATGAATGAAATTAGAATTGTTCTCTTCTTCCCAAACTCAATCTCAGTTCTCTCTGTTCTCCTTCTCCCTCAATTCTCTCTCAACTCTCTCTTGCAAATTCTTCTCAACCTTGTTTCAGGCTCATCATGGCCAGAAACAACAACACCAGATTCAACAGAGGATTTGGATCCTCACACGTTCTTGAGCTTGATCGCCCGCTCCACCGTCGCCGTTCTCGAGGTCGATCGCCCGCTCCGTCGCCGTTCTCGAGGTCGCCTACTCCGTCGCCCGCTCCGTCGTCGAACCCTAGCTAGTTCTTGCGATCTCAAGGCGGTCTCAAGGCTGCTAGTTCTTGTGATTTCAATTAGTTTAAGGTACTTTTAATTCTTATTTGATGTTATATTATGGGAAATTGAATTTTTTAAGGTTTCCCCTCTTTTATTGCCCTAAGTTGGGGTTTATCCATCGATTTTTCCAGGGATTCAGGGATTGAACCAATTTCTGAACTTTAGGCATCAGCTTTTTAGTTTTTTAGGGTTGAAGTTCTGATATTGGGTTTAGTGATTGGCTTATAGTAAGAACTTGATTTGCCTATGTTGGCCATATCTTTTGTTTTCTGAGTGCATGAGCCTCTTAATGTATACAAAGTACATATCCAACTAAAGAAAATATCACTAGTAGAAAATCACGTATTCTAGACGGAATATTCTAGACGGAATATTCTAGACGGAATTTTTTCCGTCTAGAATGTATTAAACTAGACGGAAATTTTCCATCTAGAATATTCCGTCTAGAATAAAGCATTCTAGACTAAATATTCCGTCTAGAATAGTATTCTAGACGGATTTTTTTTATTTTTTATTTTTTTAAATAACCAGTTATTCTAGACGGAAATTTCCGTCTAGGATACTCATTCTAGACGGAAATTTCCGTCTGGAATAACTGGCCATTTAAAAAAAAAATTAGCCCGTCAAAAAATTAACCGCCCTCCTTTCCCCCGCAAAATGGAAAATTTTATACCAAAATCCGCCTCCTATTCTCACCCCACCTCAAATCCCTCCCCAAATCCGACTTCCCTCCGATCCTCGACTCGATCCTCTCAGATCTCGACGCCAAATCCCTCGACCTCCTCCCCCACCTTGTAAACCAAAGCACGACCGATCTCGTAATCGATGAGATTCGATCGATCGACTGGTCGAGGGCGATCCCTTTGAAGATCGTGACGTTGATTAAGGACTTCCATGGGGTTCCCAGGGCTAGGGTTTTGGAATTGGTTGACAAAGTGTTTGATGGGATGGGAAAGGTTGAGATCCAGGATTTGCCTGCGTTGGTGTACCAGTTGCTGGTTTTGGCGTCGAAGGGGGTGAGCAGGAGGGAGATTGTGAAGGGGATTTTAGGGTTTTTCGAGGGGTTGAAGGGGCAGGGGAGGATTGTGAGGGAGGTGGAGGGGACGGTGCTGATGCATGTGAACTTCGCGGTGAAGCAGGATTTGTCGCTGGGGAACGAGGTGATTGGGATTGTGAAGTCGGATTTTCAGGTGATTAATCATTTTGTGGTTGCTGTGGTTCTTTCCATTGTGAGGGTTAGGAGGTTTGGGGAGAATGCGATTGGGGTTTTGAAGGCGGCGGTTGTTGGTTCGCAGAAGGATTATAGAGTTTCAAGGTGAGTGTGATGTTTTCAAGCTTAAAAGCTGCTGAGTTCTGTAGTTTGAAACGATTTTTGCTGAACGTTCACACTTATTGATTCCGCCCTGACTTAATGTAGTATAGAAACTCTTCTTTGATTTCATCATGAATGACCATAACGAACCATAAAAACACTAGGACATTAGACGATACAAGGTAACCGCATAATGGCAATTTTTTTTCCTTCCACGGATGCATAGTTTCTTCTGGTTGTTAAGTAGTTAAATTATATAGTGTGAAGCAATTTTTATTTAAGCAATAGAGTTCTGATCCCAACTGGTAGAAACTCTTGTTATGCTCAACAAGATGTGAATTGCCAATGACTATAGATAAGCCATAAAACAGAAGGAAATTGGCCAAAACAATATAGCTGCGTGATGGCAATGACAATGAATGCTAAAAACTGCATCAATTAATAATGTATATTGCTTAACATAATTCTGAACTTTTTAGGGATTGCAAATGGTTGCCGGATAAAGTGAAGGAAGAATGTCTTGAAACAGCCAAATATGTGGAGAAGGCTTTCATTAAAGCTGTATGTTTTCTTTAAGGTTTTCCGCCTGTCCCTTTAATATGCTAAATGAAGATTTAACTAATTGAAATATGGTGTGTACCTGGTTATGCGTCAGATTAATGAGAGCAACTGTGGTAGAGAGCATGTAGTACCTAGCATTGTCCAGTTCTGCTTTATCTTGCTAGAGTCAGCGAATGAGGAGACTGGTAAAGTCAGTGATGGAGCTGAAGAACTGATGGGTATTGAAGAACTTGGGATTAAGTTGCTCAAGACTCTTTTTTGAGATTCATGACATGGCAAGAAATGAGGTTAGTCAGTAACTACTTATTTACGCTAAAGTCAGCGCAGAACTAAAACTAGAGCTTGTTTTTTCATTATGTTGTGAGGGCCTGTGACTTGTAACACTGATACAACTGAATTTATTTATTAGATATTAAAAAAACTTAAGAGTTGTATGCTATTTGCATTGCTTGTTGTTATATGTCTACATCTCTTGCATATACTTGAGCTATTTACCCATATTTAATTTGTTGTTTTTATCTTTGGTGCAGGTTACACATGTTGGTGCAGATTGTTATAGTACTGTCTAATGATGCATCCGTTGGTTGATTTCCGAGGGGGTTTGAATGAAGATGAAGATTAAATCATTTAAGTGAGTAATCACTGAGTTATTAGTCTTGTAGAAGGGTTAAGTGCTTTTTTTTATCATTAGAATGATGCCATGACCTTGATGATGTTTCTTGTGTCTGCTGATTAAATTGCTACTTGGAAAATGCTTACTTGCTACTTGGAAAATGTTTGTGATATTTACATGTCTGTAATAAGCATATTGTTATGGACAACTGTCAGAGGCTATTACATCCTTTATAGCTCTTAGTTTGCAATATTTGCATATCTGTATGCATATTGTTGTGAATTTTATTACTTAAGTCCCATTGTGTGCAGGAAAATTCTGTGTTGTGATGCTTAGCGGCCTGCTTACTTCTTTCTTCTTTTTAGTTTTTCTTGAAGGCCTACTGAGTTTGCTGCTCTGGAAATATCTTGGGGAATGTTGGGTAAGCAAAATATTCCAATTTATTCTGTTGTATTTTGAGTATGTTACACTAGTATATTGTTGATGTAATGATAATTGCTCCATAATATGTAGTTCTCAGTGATATTTAGAATTAGTTACTCAACCTTATCCTGGACACTTTTCATGTTTAAGAATCTACTGCTATGTTCAGGCATCTTGCACTACCTCTTAGACCTAACAACTTCACCCATCATTGCTATTTGCTTTTCCAAATGCTTATTTTATCTAAGTCATTGCAGGTATTCCTTTCCTTAGTTTATTTACCTTGGACACAAATTCAATCTTACTCTTAATTTTTTTTACATTAGTGCTAACATGTTGTTTATCTTTCCTGAATCATATTGCTATTTGCTTTTTATTCTAATTTGGGAAGTATCTTGAGCAGGATTGTGCTTGTTCTATTTATACATATTTGCGCAAAGCTTCCAATCGGTCAGCAAATTTGCTTCTTGATCAGTTTTGGAGGAGAAGGGCCTCGATATCTGGAACATAAGATGCAATGTAACATGTTAGTTATGTTCAAATAACCTTGTATCATATGTTGACTTCAGATGCATTAATTTATGTAAAAGTTTGTAAAAAATTGGATTTGATATTGGAATATAATTAGATTGTGTTGGATATGAATATAATTTTTTTGTTGTTCAATATTGTGTACATGCACTCAAAGTAGATTCTCCCCCCCCCCAAAAAAAAAACACTGTAGCAAGTATCCTAGACCAAAATTCCATCTAGGATGCTCAAATTCCGTCTAGGATATCTTTTTTAAAATTAAAAAAAATAGAAAACCAATTTCCGTCTAGAATAATCATTCTAGACGGAAATCTTTTCCGTCTAGGATGTATTCTAGACGGTTTTGAATTCCGTCTAGAATATTCCGTCTAGAATGTATTCTAGACGGAATTTCCGTCTAGAATAATGCATCCTAGACGTAAACTTTCTAGACGGGTATTCTAGACGGAATTCCGTCTAGAATACCCATCCTAGACGGAATTTTGAGTATCCTAGACGGAATTTTCCGTCTAGGATACCTTATTTTTTAGCAGTGTATGCAATCTCTACATATTTCCTTACATCCATTCCGGTTTTTTTTTTCCCCATTTTTGATCCAGGACCTTTAGGCAATGTACAAAAGTTTTATGAAAAATAGGTGTAGAAGGTGAACCTGGCAAAGATTTGAACCTTTTATCTGATTCTGATGATTCAACAATCAATACCATTAGATGAGGTGAACCTGGCAAAGATTTGAACCTTTTATCTGATTCTGATGATTCAACAATCAATACCATTAGATGACCAAAGAAACATCATGGATCATGGACTTCTTGGGCTCAATTCTTGACTAGGTTTTGTATTTAACAATTATCCATATGAGCCAAATTTGATCATTCCTTCGAAAAAATTGAAGAAAAATCTATAGATCTAACAGGTCATTTCAGTGATGTAGTCTATTACAGAAACAAATATAAGTATTTTCCAATATAAAATTATGTCAAACTTGGCAAGCAGTTAGCAACTACCATGAGAAGTTTTGGAAGGTATAACTGTGTCTAAATAGCAAAACAATTGAGAATTGTACGCTAAAAAGTTGTCTTTTTTAATGAACTTATTAGATGATTTTTTTAACAGTGTGTAGTGAAGGGAATTTCTTTGCCAAAAATAACCAATCTCATGCACTTATATTAATTGACATGCAGGTTCTGTCTAGAGCTAAGGTGTCAATTAACAGGAACAAAGAAAAAACCATCGACATGCAATTCTTGGCTCCTTATCGGGGTACAAGGTACCACCTTAAAGAGTTTGGCCCAGCTAACAACCGTCAGCGACCACGCAATGCTCATGAGTTATTCAACCATCGACATGCATCTCTTAGAAATTGTATTGAACGTATTTTTGGCGTTTTCAAGTCTAGGTTTACTATTTTTAAGTCTCAACCTCCAGGTTTTCCATATGAGACTCAAAAAAGTATGATCTGGGCATGTATCGATCTGCATAATTTTCTGAAGATGGAGAACTCTAACGATGACTTTGAAGTTTCTGATCTTCCTCCAAAGGCACCACGCAATATTCCTCCGATTGATGGTGATTCTGATGAGGACGATGACCTACAAACTCAACAAGCACAGCGGACAGCTGCATCACGTTGGGGGGAACAAATGGCAAACACAATGTGGGAGGATGAGACAAACGTAGCCCAAGGAGTTTAGAACAAAGTTATATCACGGTAGATTAATATTTGTAATAATTAAGATTCAAGTTACTGACTAAGACTTTATTTGTAATAATTGAGACTTTATCATCATCATTGTAATAAATGTAGGAATGATTAAATAATTATTGCAGTTAAAATTTTTATTAATATAGCATAATATTTAAAATAAACTTCAAAATATTAAAAGATTGATTAATATTAATATTATTAATATTATTATATTATTTTAAATATTCTTAAACATAATATTATTATATATTATTATTATTTATTTAATGCTTTGATGTAATATTAAGTAAACTTGTACTTAATTTATCTATAAATATCATATTATAAAAAGATGACATATCAATTGTCCCACTCATTATCCCATTTTATCCCACTTTATCGCACACAAATTATCCCATTGGGTAAAATTACCCCATTGGAACAATTTAACCCAACTTGCTCCAAATTACACCAATGAATAACCCCCCCTAAAGGAAACACTTATTTCAAAATAGTTATAACATTTGGGGACCTTAGAGCAATTTTAATGATTTGACGGACTGATATCATAATATTAAATATTGAGGGGAGTTGTGGAGAGATCAGGACAAATTTTCAAAACCATCCACTTTTGAAATTTATTTATAAAAAACGACCCATTTCAACCTTAATTTCAAAAACCGACCCAGTTGGTTGAAATTGGGTCGGTTTTTCAAAAAAAAATTTAAACTTCACGGGAGTTGAACTCCCGTGAAGTTTTGTTATGAAAAAAAACTTCACGGGAGTTCAACTCCCGTGAAGTTTAAATTTTTTTTTCAAAAACAGACCCAGTTTCATCCAACTAGGCCTGTTTTTAAAATTAAGATTGAAAGGGGTCTTTTTTTGGGAATAAATTTCAAAACCGGATGGTTTTGAAAATTTGTCCGGAGAGATCAATGGAGGAGGAAGCTCGAGATGAAGATCAAAGGGGAGAAGCTGCGTCAGCTTCAATCCCACTCTTTCAACCCAATTTCAAATCATCCAAGTTCACCCGAGCCCAGCTCAACAAATTCAAGGTATTCATCTCCCTAATCTTTCCTTTATGCTTTCAAAACCCTAATCCTGATGTAAGTTGTTAATATGGGGCATGGGGCATGGGGCATGAGACATTTTGGTTATTAGCTCTAATTTGGAGAAAACCTAAGTTTAGATACGGTAAACGATATCAAATTTCTTTCTTAAAAGTAAGAGCATCTCCAACCATAAAACCCAAAATGGTGTAGTTTTTACACTAAGTTAGTGTAGTTTTTACACCAAATTACTATTCTATCTCTAACCAATTACACCAAATGTTACACCAAAAAGAATATTCCTTTTATTATTCTTATCTTTTAACATTTTTATCTATTTAAAATATTTAACAAATTATATAATTATATAATTATATAATACATTACATATAATTAATTATAATAATATATTTTATGAATAAAATAAAAATATAAAAATTAAATGCTAAATCAGATTAAAATATTACTTTCATAAATTCAACTAAAGATTACATTTAACATCACAAAAGAAAACATCACACTTGCAAGCAAAAAAAAAAAAAAAATGGTGTAGTTTTTCTTATTTCCTAATTTATTGCAATTAGTGTAATTTTTTATGTCCTAATTTTTATGTTGTATTTTTTTATCTAAATGGTGTAGTTTTTCTTATTTCTTCATTTGGTTTTAGTCAAGGTTATCGATAGCGGATAGCGTCGCGTAGCGGTGAGGCATCGCTAAGGCTATTTCGGGCCATTGCGACAAAATAACGGTAAAAAGTACAAAGTTAAATAGTGGTCTAATTTAGATATGTATAAATACTAAAAAAATTAAAAAAAATCTAAAAAAAAATCTAAAAGTACATATTGGATAATTTAAAGAGATCCTAAACATGAAATAGACATCTAACCATCACGTAATA